AAAAGTAAAAGTTTTAGAATACAAATATTTTAGAAAAAATAAACTTATTCTGAATTGTTTTTTTATCAAATATTTCTTTACCTTGTACCTAGTAGATATGTTCATGGAAAAATTATAAACACTTAAAAAATGGAGGAGATGAGCTAGAGTAAAAAAAGGAAACGAAAAAAAAAACGAAAATAAGAAAGAAAATGAAAATAAAAACAAGAAAGAAAGTGGGCCCTTAACTCGAAGACTTTGTAAATAGATAAAACGTATTAAATTACAAGTGTTTGATAGAACTATCATTTTAGAAGATAAATGTAAATAAAAGTAGACATGTTGATAAAATATCTTTGTATAAAATTTGACTTTTATCGTCACAATATATTTTTCGTGTATTTCTATTTTTAATTTTAATCACTTTACATTCTTATAATATGTTATTTATAGATAAATTCTTTTATTTATATTTATTTTCAAATTTCTTTTAAATCTTACCACAATTTTATTTTAATTTAAAATAAAGTAAAGATAAACATTTTAAATAGACCTAATATATTTAAAATAACATAAAAATAGTTAAAATACAGTATGAAAATTATTTAAAAACAATAATTTATGAAAGTTACTAACGCATCTGTTTATTAAATATTATAAAATCCTCAAAACTCAATGAATTTGAATTATTCATCTTTAACTATTATTCAATGCCAGATATTTAAATTAACAAATCAAGTGAATAATGCTAATATTAAAAAATTTCATATCAATCGGATAGATATTACAAAAGGAAATCGATAAGAAAGAAGTGAGAGGTCATATAATTAAATAAGAGAGAACCGAGGACATAAAATTAATTGAAATAGGGACCAAATTTTGTAGGGACTATCCATATTTACTAAGATTTCTGTCCACCAAATAATTTTTTTTTCTTCTTTTATATTTGGGTTCAGAGTAGCTATTCCTTCTAAATGGAAAATTTTGGAAAAAAAAAACAATGAAGGAATTTAAGTTCAATTAACATTTCTATAATCACTTTTAAGAGAAAATAAGGAACATAACTTCTCCCATGAATTTTTTTTAACCTTTTCAAAATTAAAAGATATAAGTTAATTTTAGTTTATAAAAAATTCAATTCATTTTACCGTTTTACTTTTCTATTTATGAAAAAGCCATTAAAGAATAGCCTACCCTTATAAAAGTTTCAAGAACTTAGCTTATTTGTATTCTGTTATTCCTCCATCAAAAAAGCAAATTTGAGTAACTTTTGTAAGAATTCAACGTAACTTTTGTGGTAATGACAAATTATTATAAAACTCTCCATTTGAGAAATGTTTTTGAGTTTAAAAGATTTACTTTTTAGATAAAAAAAATATATTTGTTATTTTATTTCTATGATTTAAAACTTTTATTTAAGATTCTAGCATCTTAAACTTTATGTACTAACATATACTTCAATAAAAACAGTCTTATAAATTATGACTTATGACCACTACAATAGAATTAGGAATTAATATTATTTTGATATGCGATCATTGCCATTAGTGTATATGCTAAAACATTGTATCATTTATTTTTGCAGTATTCTTTAATTTAATTTATCTCGTGTTTTGGATAATAATTTTTATCTTTCTTACCATCCCAAGAAGGCAACTAGGTTGGACTTTCTATCATAGCTTTGGAAGTATCATTCAAGTATTTACGTCGTCGGATACTATTCCTTAAAGACTACTACTTAGGTTGTTAAATTGTAGCCATCTTCTTAGGACGATGAGATTTAAATAGGTGTGTAAATTTGTTTACATTAGGATCACATTGAGATAACTACGGTTTCATTATTATTCTCATTTTCAAAACAAAAGTTTACTTTTATTCATACTTTTATATGTAATAGAAATTTTTTTCTCTTATCCTTATTTATATCAACGAATGATATATTCACTCATGTAAAACGGTTTTTTAATACTGGTTAAAAAAACTTTTCTATATTGATTTTAGAGTAGATATAAAACAAATAATATAGAAAGTTTTCATTTTTTTTTATAAGGATTCAACAAGTGATATAAAAAGTTTCTTTCTCTATTTAAAATTGAGTTACATATGAATTTTTCTGCAAGTAACGAGAAAAATATTTTTTATTGATTTTCTGTATGAATATTTGGTGCCTTAGGGCGGGAACATTTGCAAAGAACGAGATTTGTAGGTAATGGTATCATATTTGTATGTAAGTAAAAAAAAATTACCTACTGATTTAACATACAAATTTAAATATAATTAATTATTTAAAATAAAAACAAAGGGTTATTTACACGCTACCTGACTTGAAATTTTCATTGCCATGCTCTCTCAAACCCTTACATCTCCATCACTCACTTGAAAATCTCTATCTCACTCAAAAATCACTTAGTCACACTCTTAATTCTTGCTTCTTCGTAGAAAAGAAACCATTGCCGATTCGATGTTCAAAACCCTTGCCGAGCTCCAAACAAGGTCAAAATCCTAGCCAAGGTCCACTGCTCACACCTCAACCACTCACAGTTCCACAACTCACGCTTCCATTGCTCGTGCCTCCTCTGCCTTACCCAATCCCTTGCTGAGCTCGGTGTAGGTTGCTTGACTCGTGAAAACTCACATCGTTGTCGCTGCATGAAAGAGTTTTCCAGATTTAGGTGCTAAAATGAAATATGATGGGCTGTGTGTGAGAAATTTGCTTCTTAAAAGTCCCTTATTCAACTTCACTTTCTACACCAATTATAGGTTTAACTGATATAAAACAACTTGTAATTTATTACAACTTTGTCACCGTATCATTTTCTATATCGGTTCTTGGTCCAATTGATATAGAAGATTCTGCATTATTTAAAAATTGTTACCGCCTCATGTTGTATACCTAGTGGATTAGAACTAGTATAATACATTGTTGTGAAAAAGTATATTTTGCACTAGTAATTCGTACATTGTTTTGATTATCTCTTTACTGAAATATTAAGTACATAATCTTTTTATAAAAATAAAAATTACAACAAAAGACATTTTATCAAATATTTAATGTTTAAAAAATATATATTTTATTTCTTTCCATGTCAGATATAAAAAAATATAATTATATAAATATAAAATAAAAATTAAATAAAGATTAAATAATTATAAAAAAGTTAAAAATTATTAAAGGCATCTTAGAAATAAATTACTGAACTAAAAATTAAAGAAAATTTAATTAAAGTTTTTTGGATTACCTGATTAATGTGTTTTAAAACAAGAACATGTAGGAGAATGAGAATAAAGATATTCATCCTGTCCCCATAAATATTACCTATATCAATATTCAATTAATACGAAAAAATTTCGTGAGATAAATATCACAAACGCGAATTCATTTGTCTTTCCAATATATCAATTGTAGTACTGAATTACTTTATTTCTTTTTCAAAGTACATCTAAGGAAGGATATCATTTGTATATGTTTACCACGATATCATTTGTTTCGGAAGACTCTTAATTAAGTAATTTGGAAGTAAAATGCATTCTGCATTGCGAAAAATCAAGAATTATTCTTCTTAAAAAAATGTTCAATTTGAAAATAACATTTTTCACTTTCACGTTGCTCGAGTAAGCTGATTTTTGGATTATTTGGAATAATTTTTCTGGAATTTTCGTAATATAATTCTCAAAACAGAAATTTTAGAACATTCTGGAATAAGCTTTTCAAAACAACATTTGAAAAGAACTTTCCAAAACAACATTTATGAAACACTTTCCGAAACAAGTTTATTAGAAATAGCTTTTGAAAATAAGTTTTTCAGAATACCAAAAATGCATTCTAGAATGAACTTTTTTTCCACAATGCATTATCTCTCTTCTTCTTCCTCTGTAATAGCAATGGTGCAGATGCAGTGAGAAAGGGTATTTTAATTTTTTTTTCTGTTCATATTTGGTGCAGTTAGTAACTATGAAGTACAGGATTATTTTGTCCAATAAGTGATGTATAGTCCATCTTTGATTGTTGGAACCAATTGCTTTCTGCACTCAATCAAATATGTGGAATGTCAAAAGTGACCATATGAATTTTTTAATATAAACCTAATCCTCTTCTATTGTTGGATCAAATGGACGAGAGAATGGTTGGCGCAATATGCGAAAGGCTGAAACGGACACTGTACCTAGTTGGTGAGATGAGGTGCAATTGATGGGGTGCACGAAGCAATTGCTCCCCTTCATGAAAACATCATTCCACAATAATTCTGAATTATACAACCTAAAATTCTAATTTTAAGTTCCGAAATGTAACATTTACAAGTTGTTTCCAAAACACCAATATGTAAAATGTAATTATATTTTCAAATAGCACAATTCAAAATATATTTTTAGACTGTAGAATTCAAAATATACTTTTAAATCAAAAAATACATTTTAAAGTTATACCATATAAAAATATAATTATGACTTTCTAATTATATAATTTAAAATATATTTCAAGATTATATAATTCATAATACATTTCAAAATCCAAGAAATATATAATCATAAAATGAATTACAAGGATAATTTGGACTATTCCATACTTCATATAAGTGTTGGAATAAATTATGGGGTTCCAGGAAAAAGAAGTCTTTTTGGATAGTGTTTTCCTCCACTTCCATAAATCCCCCCTGCACCTCTCTCTCTCTCTCTCTCTCTCTCTCTCTCTCTCTCTCTCTCTCTCTCTCTCTCTATATATATATATATATATATATATATATATATATATAAAATATTTTTGCCATTTTCGGATTGACAATGTGAAATAACTTTTTAATTGTGTAATTCAAAAATTAAAAATAACTTTTATTATGTAATTCGAAAACTATTCCTTTCCTTAACATCTTTTTCATATGTCTTTATTCTCTTAAAATTCTCAGTTAGTCCAAATATTATGGAATGCCATGAATTCTTTAAAACATTTAGTCCCCGTGTAGCATTATTTTCTTTTTAATAATATCTCAGAAATTATGCGTATGATTAATACTGATAAACTTTGAATTAGTTTGAAAAAGGTTTGATTACCAAAATATTTTGTCATTAGCTATGGAGAGGTAAGATAAAATGGAAGAAGCCAGCTCACAAAGGTCTCCAATTCTTCACACTTTGGCTCAGAGGAGAAGGGACACTAGCCGACCAAGAGTTCAAATCAGGCAAAGGTCCTGTTAGTGCCATAAAATTTGCACCATTTTCCTTTGGCATTCTCTTCCAACTTACCTGATAAATTCAAAACACAAACTATAAACATCTTAAAAGATTATCTTAAATATTTGAATTCCAAAATATCAATTTTGACACTCCACAAAATTGATAGAGACAACCACATAAAGAATTAACATCACTCTCTACTCAGAACTTTAAAACAATTAATGGATCTTTACTACTTTCTCATTTTTACCCAATGTGGGACTTAGACTCATATTTAGAATTCTAACTACACAAAACTTCATGTCAGGAGTCACTAAAAAGATATCTTTTAGCTTCACAGCACAGAAAGCACTGGTGTTGTGTAATGCATGAAATAATGAAGAAACAACAACAAAACAATGAGATCAGAAACAGAAGAATTACTTGTCCCGGAAATGCTTTGGATAGTGCTTTCATAGCTGGATTTGATAACCATGATTTACCACTCCACAAAGTTTCAGGATGAGTACTTTCATCTCTGGCACTTGGCCCACCACCAACACCACCACAATTTACCATGAAGCGACCATTGGCCATCAATCTCTCTTCTAATTGCAACCATGTATTAACCTGATGAATGCATTAAAAACTCTGAAACATAATGCTAAAATTACTTGAGACAGTAAAATTTCAATTTTTATCATTCTGTCCTTCTTTATCATGAAAAAGAACAAGTTAACAGATTAAGCAGATCAATGTATGAATTTACTAATATATAATTAAGAAAATTTCAATCTTAATCACTTGTTTTACAATGGTTTAATGATTCATTTCTGCTTTCTAATTCCATATCATCAGTTTAACAGGAATTTCGTTTTAAGTTTACAGATTGTACGTTTCCATAATACTCCATTATATTCTTTGATAACTACTATCCATCCCACAATGATCACAGTTTTAGCCTTCTAAAAGTTTCCAAACTATTTTCCCATGAAACATTAATGCTTTTTCCTCAAATTAATTATTTTATCTCAGTCAAATTAATGATTTATTGAAAAAATGAGGCCATTTTAGAAAAAATTGTTTCACTAAGAGATATACTTGTTGTTCTTCATATGTATGAAATAACCTTAAAGTGCAGTCATTGTAGGCCTGAGAGAGTATCTAGCCTCCATACACTATTTCTACATATTGTACAGAGATTTTATGAGCCTAACATGGCTTAGACTTTCACCTTAACTTTGGATTTCGATTTTTTGGCAAGTTCTTCACATGATCATGCACTTTAAAAACTTCATGAGAACGTTTTGCGTGGTTGTGTGAAAACTTCAAAAATTATCCAAATTCCATTAACTCTCCTCTTCTTGTGTCATAGAAATGCAAAATCCAAAACATACTGTAAATTTGGGCAATAAATGAGATAATGGCAGGACTAAGTAAAAATATTCAAAAGGATACCAATTCAGTTTTATACTTTTCATTTTCGGAAGCTTAAATTTGACACTACTATTGCAGAAAGAGCAAGGTACACGAGCTGTTATTTGACAAAGAAGAGCTTCAGAATCACCTAGAACATGCATATCTATGTGGAGGAAAACTGCATACCTCTTGTAGCTGAGGCAAAACTTTTCCATCTGCGAACAAGTCAACTACAATGCCTGATAATTGAACAAATATAAGTTAGCCAATAATTATAAAATAGTATCCCCTTCAAAAAAATGAGGAAACAAGAGATATCATAAATTGAGCTGAATTGTTGAAATATTGCAAGTGGATGAGAAAACAAACAAGGTGCAGAGTTTCTTTACTAAGAAGTATAGGTAGAAAATAAAAGTAGTATGAGAAGCTAGATAAACTAGGCAATATGCAATGTGAATGACTCACCAGCATATCTTTCGTGAAAATCCTTTGAGGGAACGAAGACATCACCAACATGAATATTTAAAACTCCACCATCTTCTGTTGTCTTCTCCAAATCAGATAAGCCAAAATAATCTCTCACTTTATCAATCAACTATAATATTTGGGTTTTGAAGAAAAAAAAGGGGGTTAGAATGCATGCATCAGGGATCAAAATCAATTAGTGAATATGATTGTAGGATAATAAGGAACGAAATTTAATAAAAAACGTTGATCATAAAAGGTTTAAATAGAAAAGACATTTTTCACCTAGAGTGTACTGAGATCTAGTAAGACTTCCTTTTAACCTAAATATAAAAGAAATAATAAACATTAACAGACAAGGAGAGGACAATATCATAGATTTTTGGTATCCTCAAAAATATACCATAAGATCCTAGAAAGTAGTTCAATTCTTATTTATTGTTCTTATAAATATAAGCAATGCTTATTTTTTTCATGCCTACAAATATCAGTAATCTGATAGCTGAGTGCAAATACATAAGCATTTCACTCAAACTCTGGCTATTTTTTTCTTAGCACTTTTTTCAAGACAGAATCAGAGGCCTATTCATTGAATTATGATTATTGTTTCTGCAATATACAAGTAGAAATGGGATGTTGGTTATTTCGTTTAAGTTATCACTGACTACGATGTTTCAATTTTGATAATCAAGTTTCAGTAGAAATTGTAGTTTCATAGAATTCTACAATGTCAATAGCTCTGGATCACTGAAGTATAGATATAAATTTAATACAGAAATAAATAACCAAAGGGGTAATATATTACAATTTGATCAATCTCCCAGCCATCAAGTTGCAGTGAAGGCCATAAGTCAAGCATCAGATGAGCTGCAGTTCCACCACCCTGCAGGATATAAAAGCAGTATGAGATTACTTACAAGTTCACTGATATTTAGAAATTCCCAGTGTATAATATGTGCCTTCTTAAAATTAAATGAATTACCAAACCTAAGATAGCAATGGGACCTTTCGGAACAATAGCTGGCAAGCTCGCGAATTCATCCTGTTTAATACAACAAATTCAGTAACCCCTGGCATGAACAATTGATCAAACAATGTGCACATAAATGCAAAAAGTACAATGCAGATACATAGCATACAAGTAACAAAGTCAGCAATGATATAACTTATGCACCTGGATTCACCTTAACACTCAAAGAATATGACAACCGAAGATAAATCTGAAAATGATTACACAGTTACTTTCAAGCGCGGTGGCACCCCACATAGAACATTCATATTGACCCTAAAGTAATGTTACTAGATCTATAGTTTAATAGTTTGACTAAATATTCAGTCACATTGCGTAGCATTATTCACAAGCAAGGAATAAATAAAATTGTATATAACACTACAGAACTCAATGGTCATATGATGGCACCAGTTGCTCAGCATGAGAAATGATTGAATTTCATTTTTGATAGGTTTCACTCGACAACAAATGCAAGATCAGAGGCCATGATTGATCTTGACATAGCATTAAAAATGCTTCACCAGTTTCTTGCATCAAATAACAAATTAGACAAACTTTTGCTATTAAATATGACAGGCTTGATCCAGAGACTAGTTTAACACCTTCTTGAACCCTACTCTTCTATTATCAGAAGCTTATACAGCAATGTCAACAAGTTTTCTCAAATTCAAAACTCCTAGGGAGTAAAGTTAGTAGTTTTTATTTAAAATATGTCAAATCCAAATCAATACGATGAGCTGAACAAAGAAAAATTATATAAAAACCAGTATTAGTTTTCAACCTCGTGAATATGTCTATAAACTGCAAGCAAAATATGAACACAACTACACAACATTCTACAATCAATATGAGCGTGAATTTGATGTATGAATCACACAATAAGGGCGAGGAGTGTTTTTAACATCATTTCAAACTTTGACACTAAGCAACCCAAACATCATTACTTTGTAAAAAAGAAGTTTTACTTTTACAGAACATACAACACCCATTACCGTTTGGACGTATGTCTCAAACACACACGCATACAACAAAACAAGCAATGTCAAGGTAGCATACATACCCAATAAGAACATGTCCATTTTGACCCATGGTAAAGAACACTGTGAACACTGTCTGCAACAAAAGAAACAAATTCTGACACGTCAATTACCCTTGGCACACTGCTGAAGGAGACTGATCAAAAACAAGAAATAATAAAAACATTTATAAGGAAATGCAAAACGGCATTTGAATACTTTTCAGACCCAGATGATCCATGAAGTAAAGTTTGAACTTTTAAAAGCAATTCAGACGGAGAGAAGGTGAGAGGAGTACAAGATGAATCAAGGAGTAACATTCTAGCCTTTGGGGTGTCCACTATGAGTATGTCATTGTAATCAGTTTTGATAGAGGAGACTAGTTGAATGTTCTCTTCTTCACCGGGTTGTACTTGTTGTTGAGCAGCAACAGAAAATGAGAAGTGTGAATTGGATTTTGAATGATGGGTTGAGAGGAGAAGAGAGGGTTTTGGTGTTGGGATGAGAGAGTGAGTTGCAGCAATGGAGAAAGCAAAAGACTTGAACTTGATGTCTATGCTCAAATGGGAAGGAGGCAGCAAATTGGTCAAGGACAATGCATACCCTCTCATTGTATTCTCTTGGTTCAGTCTCAAACAAAGGGATAAATGAACTCAAAATTCCACCACCTTATCCAAATTCCAAATTCTTCTTTGCATTTTTCACCTTTATTGTTTGATTTCACTCATTGTTATCTTATTTTAAGGTCTCTACAATTATATTATTTTTAATTATTCAAAATTTAATCACCGTAATTATTATATAATTAATAAAATAGAAATATATTGTTTAGCTTAACTTCATCGTGTATGATTAAGTTGAACAAAATACTGAGATTTAGTGCGTTTCAATTATTTTTCTTTTGAAAATATACCATTTTAAAATTTTTAAAAGCTTTTTGAGTAGTTATTGTTTCCAAAAATGTTCACTTAAATGATATATGCGATGGAATCTAAACTTAAGTTGTTATTAATTTATTTGTACTTTTAGTTTTATTCTATAAGTGATTTTAATTTCCCTAATTTTACATTTTCTCTTTAATTTTTTTTATTTCTCAGTGCATATAAAATTCAAGAAAATATATAAATATTAAAAATTAATTTTAATTTTTGAAATAATAATAATAATAATAATAAGAAGGAGGTTAAATAGTTTTTTTTTCTTGGATATTTTTTCAATATAATTTCAATATTTAAAAAAAAGTTAATTTAGTTTTAATTTTACTTAAAATGAACGGACTTGGTATTTTACGTTAAATTAATTTTGACTCTTCGCAGTAAATAAACCTTCAGCTTTTATGTCGGTTTTAATTTTAAGTAACATATTATTTACGATTATATTACTGTCTAATTTATTATTATAGGTAGATTAAAACCATAGTAATAAACCATCTTAAAATCATATTTTTACAATAAGAAGTAATATCAATTATATTATTATTATTAACTATTAATTTTTCACCTTTTTACATTACACAATCTTAGTACTTCCTCTTACTTCGAAGAGTGTCTTCCCCACTAGGTGAAAGTTCTTTTCTCCTCTTACTTCAGTCCCTGGGAGCAGCAAGTAATGCATCGGTGCGAATCCCACATCGGTAGGGTACAAAGTTTTCAAGTAGTTTATATTTACAGAGCTCCAACGACGGCTTGTCCCTTCGGGGACATCCGATAAAATTGGAACGATACAGAGAAGATTAGCATGGCCCCTGCGCAAGGATGACACGCACAAATCGAGAAATGGTCCAAATTTTTTTTTATTTTAAATTTTCAACCCTTTCTACCACCTTTTTTAATTGATTGTTCACTCTTCTGATGATTGCACAAGAGATAACCTAAATTGCTCTCTAGAAGTAGTACTATGACGGATGTGACAAGATATATTATTAGTTTACGATATTAGAGTTAAACTACATTTTAGTTTGCTGAATTTTGGTTCCAAACCATAAATGTTGTAAATTAAGTGTTCATCATGTTAGTGGCTACTGTGTTCATCATCATGTGCTGCAATGTCAAGATTGAACACAAGCTTTTTGAGATGCATGGAACTTGTTTGCTGCCCAAAATGCTTCTGTTTCCACATTTGCATGGTGCGAAATGATAAAGGTTAAACGTCTTCTGGAATTCATTGATGAAGAAGAATTTTAACTTCTTTTCTTAGATTTTTATCTTCAATATTGAAAGTAAAACTTGAATCTTTGTTTATTTATGGTTTCCAGTGTATGGTGATTACTGTTACCATTTTTGTTGTTACGAGTTCATCTTGAAAACATAAGGAAGGTAAACAAGAAATAAGAGATAATAGAAACTTGAAAAGAATTTTTATTATCTGAAAGAATATGATACACAAGCTTTGGATGAAAGCTTATTTATACACAGAGCAACAAGAAGACAGGTTAACAGAGCTGTGTAAATCAGAAAAGACAGAAAAACAGAATTACGAATGATTACTTTCATTATTAAACAATAATCTAACGCTATATAAATACATAATATTACAAATGATTACTTTTATTTTTTCGTTCTTTTATACGATACTGTGAACCATCCTAAATTAATATTTTTATTTAAAATAATATAATTCATCAAATGTATTTTCTTATTTGTTGTGAAATATTCTTTTTCAAATATTTTTAAATATTAAAATTAAAAACTTTTTGAATGAACTTTCCAGAATACTCGTTTTCCAGCTTCGCACAATTCACAGTATCTATAATCCAATGGGTTTAGCCACCAAATTTGAATTTTGTCACTAATGTTAAAATAAAAAAAGATATATCTAAACTATTTTTCATGTCGTCTTATAAAAAACATGGGACATTAGACGCATCGGAGTAGACATAAACAAAAGCTTTCAGCCTTTAATCCTAGACAAAAGAAATCAAATAAATAAATAAAAATGGCAATTAAAATTTAAAATAATATGGGGGTCAAGATGGGAGGAAGAAGATCTTGAGGGAGAACTAAATTTAATGAACTCATTCTGAAAAATTAACATTAAACTTTTTCGTGAAGTATGAACTTTCACACTTTCGGAAGATTTCACAGTAAGTTTTAAATTGTTATCGTAATGATAAATTTTATTATAAATTTGAAAAGTTATTTTTACTTTAACCAGTTTTTATTACCTTTCAATTGCATCTTCTTTAGTGAAAAATTCACTATTCACTCACCGGACCAGGGCTGTAAATTTGGAATAAACGGGTAGAAGTCCCACCTCGCTTGAATACCGTACTAACCAATTGTTTATAATTCCATAGCCTCGTTGTAGCATTGTCCCTTCGGGGACATCCGATAAAATTGGAACGATACAGAGAAGATTAGCATGGCCCCTGCGCAAGGATGACACGCACAAATCGAGAAATGGTCCAAATTTTTCTACATTTTTTTTTTATTGATTATTGACTCTGATGTTTGCACAGTTTTTCCTTCATGTTCAAATGCATTTTGTTTGTCACACTTACTGATTTGTTTTCTTCATTTATGTATATACCATTTCTTCAGTTACTAAAATAAAATTATTGTGGTTACATTAGTTCTATTGAACTTAGCAACTTTTATTAAGTTCCAAAAAGGGTAATTTGGAGGGGAAGAATTGCACCAATGATAAGGAAACAAAGGAATACATACATAAATTACTTTCTGCTTTATAGTTTGTTAATACTATAGACTGTCAGATGATGCTAGAATTTGTTGGTGTGATGGAAATAACTTCAACAAGGTGGACAGGTGAGAAGGAATGGAAAGTGAAATCTGAAGTTCATTCTTTCTGAGATACAGAGCAAACTCATAGATTCGGGTTTAGGGTTTGACTCAATTCCAAAAAATCAGATTATTAATAAAAACTGTCAAAACATTATAAGCTCTATTTAAGTCAATATCTATTTGATGCAAGGCTAAACCATCATCCTTAAAATTGTAATTATGGCACTCCTCATGGTGATTGAAACTAAGGCAGGCCAGGAGTGGCCACAAATAAAGTGTCTTTTCTTCACAAATGAACAATGAGATGTTGTAAAAGGACCTCCAATCAAAACATGCATAAAAGCTGCCTTTAGTTAAGGATATCATATTGGCTTCCCTTAGTTTGAATCTCGTTGTACATATACATACATTCTCTACATAATTTTTTTTAATATTCCTGACAAATCCTCCATACAAATTGCTGCATAAGTTAAATAACACCATCCAGGGGAGATCGGTATCATATCATTTAAAAGGGGTGTTTCTGTTGGTGTTTCAAATCCCCTGGAGAAATAAATGTCCATTTTTGGCTCTAAGAGAGCTTCTGAAAATAATAAAAGAGATATTCCCATTTGGGCACTTAGTGTTGGAAAATATAATTAACCTTCCTTTTAAATGTAGTATTGTAAAATATTCTTGTTTTACTGCATACTTTCTGAATCATTTTCATTGGGAACCCTGAAATAAGAGCATTCAAGAACTTCTCCCTTCCAGTAGGTTTCTCAATTTTTTTCTTCTGTTTAACAACTTCAGACCTACAAAAAGATCCTCTGAGTCAATTGTTAATACATATCTTTGTTTAGTTTGCTAAATTGAACTAAAGCCAAACTTCCTTTCATTTCATTACTTTTTGAAGTAACATTATACAACAATGACAAAATTAACTGGGGCCTTCCTTGACATGAAGCCTTACAAGAATAATAAACAAAATTTGGATCTTCCCGAAAACAAATGGAAAAAAATTAGAATAAAGAAATAAGCTAATTACAATTCTTCACCTCACCACTCAATTACTCTCTCCACACAAACCCAAATTAAATCAATACAAATCAGAAACTATAACTAATATCAGCAGCAAACTTTCACCAGCTCACTGAGAGTCACTGTCCATTTGTTGCAACAAGAAATGGAAGTCAGACCTTTGCCTGAGTATTGGCGGTGGATCCACATCCATGTCTGATAGGCGGATGTCACTCATGGAGCGAAACATCTCCTCCATCAAGAATGGTATGCTGAGTTTTGTAAAAAGAATCAGTGCATTAGCTTGTCAGAAAATTGTTTCTATTGGCCAGGGAGTGACTTTTGGATTTGAATTTTAAAAGGGGGGAAATCAAAATTGGTTTAGAAGCATGTTAATAGTTACTTACCTGGAATCCACCTCTAGAAGGAATGAGCTATTATGTATGCTTATTGAGTCTTCTGTCATAATCACTCTCATTCTGCTAATGACCTGTAAAAGTCAGAAGGGGAAAAAAAGAATTGAAACATCATTAGTTATCGTGTGTGGTAAGGTCATCTGATGCACGATAAAGTTGTGATACTGATTAATTTAATAATGCCTGTTTGTTTTCTACGGTTATGAAACTTAATAATGGAAGTTGATTGTGAATATGTTTTATAGTATCGTTTGTTTTCTACATCAATGAAACAATCAGTTATGATGCAAATCTTGAGTGTAATATTTTAAAGTGGTAGTTTGACTTCTAATTTCAGAGTTTCTTTCTTTCAGAAGTATCTTTGTTTCTTCTAAAGATATAAATGCATTTTTAAGAAAATTGAATGTTTGCAAATTTTCATCATATTTCAAATGAATTTGTAAGGTTGGACAAACTGTCCACAAAAAAGAGCAAGAGAAACAAAAATGGTTTTGGAAACCAGGACTTACTTCTGCAGATAATCCCTGTGC